AATTGAATCTAAATAATTGTAAAGGAGTAACAAACAAAGGTATTTCATATCTAAAAAATTTACAGTTTTTAGAATGTTTACATCTTCGAGAGATATGCACATTAGAAACTAATACTTTATGTGAAATACTGCAGAGAAATAGACAGATGCGTGATTTAGATTTAGCAGGAACGGGTCAAAACATATTAGATGCAATCGCAATAGAATTAAAGAATTATTGTTCAAATTTAGAAAGACTAAATTGAGGTAAGGCTAATTTGAAGGGATGGATTCTTACACCGCAAAACATAGATGCCCTTGCCCATTGTAAGAATCTGAAAGAAGTGAATTTTGCTAAGTACGTAATGTGAAAGTGTCTATTTTAAAATTATACATATTACTTTTAATTGGAATTCTTGCTATCTATGCTTACCCTTTTCGCAAACAATTGCAATAATTGTATTGGCTTTTGCTTACAGTTGCAAGATGACTGATTATGATGTCTATGATGATGTATTCGGCAGATTGTTTTCTTCTTGCCAATGCCTGAAAAAAATCAACTTAAGCGGTCTTCGTAAAAAACTCACCGATCGTGATTGAAACGCACTAATGTTGTGCAAAAATTTAAAATTTTTAAACTTGGCACGCCTGAATTCTGTGACATCTGCCATATGTTCTCAATTATTGGAGAAATGTCTTAAATTGAACGAAATCGACCTCAGCTACTGTAATATTAGTGAAAGCTGGGTTGACGAATGGAACGGAATGTACAATGTAATTGTGCGTCAATGCTGTTTATATGATATATTTGGTTTGATTAAGATAAGAGTTGCGCCAATTTTAAAATAAAAATTTATACATCATTATATAATTTTTATCTCGTATTGCTTAATATTTACATATGTATAATATTTATATATATTTATATAAATAAAATATAATTTTATTAAATCAGATTGCATTTTGTTTGTGTTACTTTTCGCTATCAGTAGCAATCTCAATTAAAACAATTTCATCTGTCTTATCCTAAATAAAAACAAATTGCTCGTGTTCACGAATCTTATATATCTGTATGCGCTTTTTCCTGTAGATAGAGACAATAAATGCGTTATATGCTCGAAATAACGTATGATGGCTCCAGCGCCTCCAGCACACCAGCGTGATTCCACCAGCATTCGTCGCGCGTGGTCATGCACGATATCTAATGAGTATACAGCTTTGCCAATGTTCAAAGATGTCTAAAGATGTGTGTTTATTGAATATCACGTGTCGCGCGGAATATTGCGCTGATGTGCCGGAATCATAAAGATATGTGTTTAATATAAATATAGAAATTGCAAAACTTTTAATAATATTATTTAAAATATGTATTGGGCATTTTATTACTCAAGATTGTATTTCATTTTTAAATTAAGATTAAAACAATAATTGCTCTATAATGTGTATTGAGCGCACATTTTAGTGCGTGGATAGTTATGTGTACATAATAACGAATCGGATTTGCACCTGGCGTCAATTCAATAGTACGTTAATAATTATAAAACTCACGTACTATAGTTTTACCATCTTTGATTATCTTGATTAGCTTGATTAAACTGGCAAAACTGGCAAAATTGGCATGTCAACCATGTTCGAATAATTCTTCTTAAATCAGCTTGCAATTAGTTAAATTCAATGGAATAATCAGCCGATTAAGTTAGTCGAAGATGATGAGACCAACCCTAAAACTGTTGTACATCAACAATATAAATTTAATCAATTTGACAATATAAATATAGAAACATACACGGTTCAACTGCAAAATTCTTAATTAATGCAAAAACTTGGCTTATACAATTTGTGTACGAGTTCCTTGCAGTTTTAATAGTATAGAATTTATAATAACTATGTATATATTTATTCGTGTAAATCATTTACAATATATATTATTTAAGGTCTTAAAAAGTCGAAGTAAAGGATAAAAATAAACACGTATTTATTATTGCTAATAAACATATACACTTACATAAAATACTGTAGTAAAAGTATAATATTAATTGGTTATGTTACGAATTGCATATCTCGTTAAATGATTTATTATGTTCTATTATGTTCAATGGTTTTCTCAATATGATATTTATCTCGAAGTTTGACATTCTTAATTAAGATACTTTTTGACATTTCATTTTCTGTTTTATCGACTATCTTCGATTGATTTAAAATAAAGGAATATTGCACATATATTCGGTTGTTGTATCGTATCATTTCGACGAGCGGTTGTGCTCTGCGTCACAATAAGGAAAACCGCGAATGACAGCATGACCCAGAGTTTTCTCGTCAATTATCCGCGCGACATAGCAAAACGTGACGAATAAATTTATCTGAATATGAACTGATTTAAATCAATAAAAGGAAAGAAAGATGGTCGGCGACACGGCGCAGATCGACAAGGAACTCGTTGAATGGATCGATGGCATCCCATTTTCGAGACCCGCGAGAAACTTGACGAGGGATTTTTCGGATGCCGGTAAAATCGTGAATTTCCGCGTCACAAGCGATTTTTCTTATGGATAAATTTCATAGCAACAGTCACTAAAGTTGGATTAATTTAATCCGCATTCAATTTAACCAAGCAGAATTGCTTACAATTAATGCAAAATTTCTAATTAGATACATATATAATAAATCGATTTTTTTCCCTGTAATAGCAAGTTTTCTATAGTAGAAAGTTAATTTTATTAATAATAATAATTGTATCAAAATGATACAGATGTTATGTTATTATGGTAAGTTTATTATTATTTAACCCAACATTACTAAGATAAAAATATGCATTACGATTACTAAGATAAGATTTGTCAAAAATCCCAACTAATTTAAAAACTTAAATTGTAAGAACATGAAACTTTTAGAATATATTATATTAAGTCTAATTAGATTTAAATCTCTCTAATAAAATTATTTAAAAATTTTTTAATTATTGAGCAGTCGTGAAAATAATACTATTCTAAATATAATATCTGAATTGTTGTACTCTCTCTTTGTAATGCCGGATTGAATTAAATAGGAGCTTAATTGAAGTCACTCTAATGCGGATAACGTCTACTTCTACCAAAGTAGATTAACTTTAATCTCGGTTTAATACTTACTTTTTATTTTTTCTTCTAAGAAAACGATAAAGAGTAGGTTAAATCGAGATTATAGTTAATTAATAGAAATGGACAAATCGGTATATCTTTTGACAGTTCTCACGGCGGAGGTATTGAAGTTGTACTATCCCCGACACGTGGAGCTTCACAATTATGTTCCGGCGAATAGCATAAACACAAAGAGGGAGAACTGGAAGATGCTGAATCGAAAGGTGCTCGTGAAACTTGACATGAAATTGAGCAACGACACGATCCATCAACTGGCGAACGGGTCGCAAGGCGCGATCGAGAAGCTCTTAACGAAGCTGAGAATGAAAGTTCTGAAGGACGGCGTAGAAATGCACAAGCCAAAACTCAAAGACGTAGAAAGCAGCGTAGAAGGCAAAATGACGCGCAGACATCAAATAATATATCAAATAATATTTGTTTAACGATATTTTGACTAATGTCTCGTTTGATTTTATCGTATTTTCTATAGAAGAGAAGATTGGAGATCGCTCGTCGGACAACGATCTCAAACTATCATTAGAAAGTTCAAGCAAGCTCGATACCGATACCGAAACTCGTGAAGTTAAGCCGTCGAAGTTTACGTGTCTCAAACGAGGGATCCTCGTTGTCTTCAGTTGGATCCCCTGTCTCTTCCATATTTGGAACATCCTCAACTATTACACACTTCCTCGTTTCCGCAGACGTGAGATATTTGACATATAAATGAAACTCGATTTATGATTGGTCGAAATTGATCAAGTTTTAAATGTATTTAAAGGCGACGCGCTCGCGGATGTTACGACGGAGCGGACTAAAGATGCAAACGTCGTAAGTGTGCAGCGTACGATTTATGCGGAATTGAAGCAGGAGTTGCGCGAGAAAGAGGAGGTGATAAGCACTTTGAATCACAAGATCGCGTATTTAGAGAGTTCGATGAAGCTCAAGGATTTGCGTATCTCCAGTCTGACGACACAGATCCTACAAAATTCCGAGATGGATCATTCAGCGAAATCGCAATCGATCGACAGCATGCAAACTAAATTACGCTCGCGATCGCATAATTTTCACGGAAGCAAAACGAATTAGAAATCCGTAGCAGTACGAAGTTGCAAACTTAATTGTAAAATCAGAAATAAAAAATTAATGAGATTTATACTGCACGTAGCAGAATTATTCTATATCACGTTGTGACTGACAGTCTTCTTTTTAGCTCAAATTAGGCCTTGCGGAAATTAGGAATCGAATTTCACTCGCATAATTTAATTTGTCGAAACAGTCACTTTCTAGGTAAATAAATCATGCTCCGGTTAATTAAAGTTTCTGCTTTTTAACAGAATAGAATGTAATGTGTCGTATCGTAATTTTTTTTGTCGAATTGTTCTGTTTTGACTTATCGAATATATAAGGATGGGATAAGTTTATAATTAATTATTTTTTAGTTGAAAAAGAATCGAATTTAACGCTTCTGCGAGCGCACACTCAATTACATTTTTAATTCCTTACGTCCTTTTATCTTCCTTAGCAGTGTAACACTGAAAGTGCTTAATAATTACTCACTTTGAATATTAAAAGTTCTGTTTGTTAGTGCTTTTAATAAATAATATAATTATTTGGCACTTTCAGTATTAAATTTTTGTAAAGGTTTTATATTATATAAATCAAAATTACTTTATCTATTACTTCATAAATTTAAATATCATAATATATAAAAAATCGTAGAATAATTTGAGTTTTGTTAAAGAAACGTTCTTTGAAAGAAGGCTAAGGTTACGTTAGAAATAATCACTAGCCCATTTATCGAGAGCAAAAAAGTATGTGAAATTTAGACCGTCCAAAGTCGCACCAGGAAAGTTGCATCAAGGCCATTTTCTGATCTCACCGCGAAAGGTGGGGATGCCAATATTGTCCGCTCACCTATACTATACCTGAAAGAGGGTCTGTAATGTCAGTAGTATACCGGCTCTTGGATTGTAACGGCACACGAAATACCGGAGAGCTTTAATGAGAATTCTGCTGTAGCGGATGTGAGTACGATTATATAAATTCGATTAATAATCCTTCTCTATACCTTTGCAATCATTATGGGATTTATTAGGAACTTATTATACAAAGTATTAACAAATATCGTTCTTTATATGCTTTGTGGATATCACAGCGATAAAAATATTGAAAGACACTTTACATATTTTTAATCGTTAAATTAAAAAATAAGGAGCTCTATAAAAAAATGTAAAATATCGAGATATCGGTAGGTATCGAAACCAAAATTGCTATAATACGGATGTATAATTACGTTAGAAAATGATCTTTCATTATACTTCTATCACAGATTGATCTATGGATTCTAACACGTATTTATCTACGAATTTGCACAGTAAATTGAAAGGAAAACTATATTTGTGTCATGGTCGTTGAATTAGTCGCGACAAAAAATAAGCGAGATGTCGAAAGAAAGAGAAAAACAAGTAACCCGTTTTCAGTGTTAAATATTTAATACTTTAAAATCGAGTTTCATTAGCTGAGTAATTTTGCTGCATAATGAAAGAATGAAGAAGGAGAGATATAATAAGATTATTGTTTTAAGAGAGGTATGGTTTCCTATTTTTAGATTATAGATTTTAAAATTGATATACGATAATGCAACTTTATTTTCAAGGAAAACATCATTTTATTAGCATATCAATCATTTGATATGCTAATATTAAAATTGTGCTAAACGTTCCATATTGAACAAGTTTATTTTTGTGAACTTTGTTAACACGTGTATAATAATCGAGCGAATACATATTATTATACCACTTATTAGCAACCACTTATTAGCAATCTATTATTATTACACGTTTTTACTTGACTGTGTTATTTTTATTTATTGTTACTATTGTCATAAAAAAAACCACGTATTATCTCGTATTATATAATTTTACTTGAAATAATTTTATAAACTAATCGATTCTGTTTAACTTTGAAATCTACTATTTATTGTAGAATTAATTAATCTATTGTTTTTAATAAGATATTATTCATTTCTTTACGAAAAGTTTTTTATGTCGTGCACCTTAAAATTATGTTATTTCTTGTTTAATAAAGCATACTCGATGGAGTCACTGAAGAATAAATTCGGTGTCTGTAAAACGGTATACATGGTCAATGACCTTCTCGTACGGTGCAGTCGCGTAGAATCCGGATATACTTTCGAGCTGTCCAGCTAAGTTGAAAAAAATGTATGCGCGAAGATGTGTCTCCTTGGAACAAAAAGAATTTGCATTCAAGGAGACGCGTCTCGTGACTTTCTCTTTCTCTAAACCGGTAATAAGATTTACTACTTGAAAAGTTAATGTTATTAAAGTTAACATAAGTTTCTAATAAAGCAATTGCTTTATTAATCTTGCTATTTTAGAAGTGTACATTTCCCCATTCTCTTATCATGTCTTTTCCTTTTTTTTTTTTAGGAAAATGTAGTGCAATAAGTGTTTCAATAAAATATAATGTAATAAAGAAAAAAATGTTACATGCAATAATTTAATTAACGTTCAATTTTAATATATTATTCTTATATCTTGATATTTTGTTTATCTAGATAACATGATATTGAATAGCATTCCTTGCATGACGTTGCTTTGCGGGATCGCGGCTACTGTGTCGGGTGGCGCAATATTGCTCCTGGTGGGCCTCCGTCTGTACGTTTACTGTACTTTGGGCATTTGCAAGAGCAAAAACCGAATGGATGATAAAACGATAATAATCACCGGATGCACTTCCGGCATTGGTAAGGAGACAACGAGGGATCTCGCCAAGAGAGGCGCGAGAATCATTATGGCATGCAGAAACACGGACACTGCTAATCGGCTGAAAGGTTTCGTAACTAAAAATAACTATTCTAATAATATTGTTGTGAATAGAAGTAGCCACGATGAAAATGAGGCAATTTTGTTCCAATTGTTTTCGCCTTATCTTCCTTGAAAATCGTCATTGCTGTTGCGAAATGGAAAATTTATTTCGATTACGCTTCCGGAAAGTTACGTAGATTTATATGTATATGGGTAAAATATACTATTACTATCTACGATTTACTGAACTTAATTGACTGTAGTTTAATAACGGTATTATCGCGATTAAATTGTTTATGAATGAACCAGTGCCCGCGTGAGCTTATAATTAGAGGTAATGGTGTAACCACTTATAATTGCAAATCAAAACGTGGTCACTGAGCAAGACTAATTTCTATCGCTACACATACATTTATGCAAAATGTATTTAGGCTACATTGCATAATATTCCCCGAATAAATTCCTCGTTTGTCAATGCATTAATTTATTTCACAATGTTTTGCAATATAATAAGTTAAATAACAAATAAAAATTAAGATATATAATATATACATACAAAAATGTCATACATTTGTTAACGCAAAGTTGAAACAAAAACATAAAAAAGTGAAATTTCTCTTCATGCTTTTATTCTTGGAACAAAAAGCCAAGATTTAATTTTAATCGCTTCTCACAATTCAAATGTTAAAAGCGTTTCAATATCGAACAATGTGTGACCAATATTTTCCGCGAGAATAAATTTTTTGATACATTCTGTAATAAAAGTTGTGTCTGATATACACCGTATGTTTTATATACAGACGAGATTGTGAAAGAGTCAAACAACAGCAATATCGTAGTCCACAAATTGGATTTGTCATCGTTGCAATCGATCAGAAAGTTTGCACAGCAAATAAATCAAGAAGAAAGCAGATTGGACGTGTTGATCCATAATGCCGGGACAGCGGAGACTTTTAGGAAAAAAGTCACGGAAGACGGATTAGAACAGACTATGGCTACCAATTACTTTGGACCATTTTTGCTGACGCATCTTCTAATCGGTAAGAAATTATTTCATCGGTAAAAAACCTATTCATTATAATTTATCTGTAACGCTGACGCGGCGTTCAATTCTAGTGAAAAGATGATAGAATATTTTCTCTGTATTAGTACGTACATTATATTTATTAATAATAAATCAAGAAGCATTATAGTGGCACAACGTAAAAGCTTTAAATAATTTTAAATTGTATGATAATTCATGCAAAATCTACTATAACGTGTTTCACGTCTACGTTTATACATCTTATAAGGATGATAAAAGGTGACTAATAGGAAATCACAGTCATATGATGTGATAAATCGTCCAATTTTTTTTTCATAATTTACGCAAAGTTTTTAGAAATAATAAATAGCGCTATTACATGACATCTATATAATAATAATAATAATTATTATTATTATTAACGTCATCGATTTGATAGATAAAGTATCCTTCTTTAGAATTATGTAAATTATCTTACAAGGGTGATAAAAGATAAAAAATGATTAATAGGAAATCACAGTCATATGATGTGATAAATATTCTATATTCTAATCGTCTAATTTTTTTCACAATTTACGTAAAGTTTTTAGAAATAATAAATAGTGCTATTATATGACATCTATAGTATTATTATTATTATTATTATTATTAACGTCATCGATTCGGTAATGTTCGATATTTCGGTGAAGTATCTTTCTTTAGAATTATGTAAATTACTTTACTACTAGGAAATTTCGCGTTGTTTGCAGATTTATTGAAACGATCGAAACCAAGTCGTATCGTAGTGGTTGCGTCAGAGCTTTATCGCATAGCGCGTTTAAATCTTAATAATATCAATCCAACATCGACCTTGCCGGCGTACTTGTATTACGTGTCGAAGTATGCGGATATAGTCTTCACATTGGAGTTGGCGCGACGTTTGGAGGGCTCGGGAGTGACGGCGAATTGCCTGCATCCCGGGATGATCGACAGCGGAATCTGGCGAAACGTACCTGCTCCGTTATCCTGGGGTTTGAATCTTATAATTAAGACTTTCTTCAAAACGCCTGAGCAAGGCGCGCAGACGACTATCCATCTCGCGGTTTCTGACGAAGTTAACGGAGTTTCGGGAAAATACTTTATGGATTGTGCAGTAAGAATCATTTATGATCCTTTAAAACTTCTTCTAATCTCCTTACAAAAACGCTTTTAAAAGATCGCATAGTGTTACAATAAAATTCTCTCCAAGATATAATAATATGTTTCAGGAAAATTTTTTCGCGCTGAACACTGTGCCGTTAGTATTCGCACATTAGGATTTTGAGTGAATTGGAATAAAAGGAACAAAAAATGATGTTTTTAGCCATTTGTATAAACATTTTTTTGCGGCAAAAAGGAAACTGATTTCTAAATAAACTTCACGACATCTGAAAGAATTCAAGAGCTTTCAAATAAATTTTGATTCATGATCGTTCACGACTTTTTTTCATGACTATGACTATTTAGACTTTTTATAAAATTTTGCAAAATTTTTAAATTTTTAATAAATTTTTAAACTGAACCCGACGCAAAACCGTTATTATCTTTTTATAAAGACAATTTGGAGGAGGATAGGTCTGAGGATACATCACCAACTTTTTTTGGACATGTTAAAATCTAAAAGCGCAGTGGGTAAATCTTTAAAAGATGTAGTGGATTTTTTTAAAACAAATCTGAATGTGAAGGACTTGGTTCCGAAATTTATAGAATGAATAAGATTAATTTTGACGATCCCGGCCTTGTCCTGCACGGTAAAGCGTTCCTTTTCGGCACTGAGAAGGCTGAAAATGGTTAAGGGCATCAATGAGCCAAATGCGTTTAAATAACTTGGCAGTATTACATATTCACAGAGATTTAGCGGAGGCTGTGATGGATGATGATGGTTGATAAATTATTAAATGAATTTATTAGTAAAAATAGTTATAAAGTACATTTTTAATTGTAAAAAATAAATAATTAAATGTTAAAAGAAAAACTTGTGTACTTAAAAATTTTATCAACTACTGGTGGAGTGGGAGAATTGGGGGGAGGGGAGATTTTCATCAGAAATTTTCACACCCAGAGCCGAAACAAATCGCCAGGTCTGTTTAAAAGTAATTTTGTAAGTTATTAAAATAATAGTCTAAAATTCAAACAGCCATTTTGTCAAACATAGTTTGATGACAAAAAGTCGTACGATTATGAATTAAAATTTATTTGAAAGCTCTTAAATTATACTACCAGATGGTATTAAGTTTATTTAGAAATCAGCATCATTTTTGCCGCAAAAAATATTAAAAGTGTCCAAAAACGCTCTTTCATTCCAATTTACTCAAAATTCTGCCGTGATAGGCAACCTATGCTAACGGCATTGTGTTCAGGGTGAAAAAATCTTCACGAAACATAGATATTATTGCATTTTGGAGAGTGTTTTTTTGACACATTTAGTTATAGCACTTTGTTTTTTATAGTTTAACACTAAATGCTTTTTCCAGAAATTCATTTTAAAGCACTCTAAATATGTATTTTAGGAACATAGATTGTCGAACGCTGCGAAGGATCCTGCTAAAGGCAAGAAATTGTGGGAATTAAGTGAGCCTCTGGTGAAGTTGCAACCGTCAGATCCGAAGATTTGAATGCGTCTGTTTTGTTTGTAAATTTTTATAATTTTATATAATTTTTATTATTTATATAAGTACGACGGTCTTTTTTGTATTAAAAATTTTAATAATAATAATAAGTTTATAACTTGCCAATATAACTTGCTTCAGTAAAGTATCGAAACTTCATTAAGCAATACTTTTTGTACAAAAAATAATTTTACAAGTATTGTAGTTTTGCAAAAACAATTTTTTTATTAAAAAACAGATTACTTTTTATAAAACACTATAATGATGTAACTGTATTGCATTTGTCGAGTAATAGAATTAATATATGTTTTTTCTCACTCTTACTTAACGGACGAAACCACAAGTCAGCATATCTGTTACACGTTATGAAATCGATTTTAGAGATTGAATCGATTTCTACTTCGGATTCAAAGAAAACAAACTGTCCCATATTTGCATTCTGTCGGGATACAATCCTGTCTTCATTCTTGGTTCCTCGGTGATTTCTAGATAATTATCTCTTTCTAGTAAATATGGTTCCCACGTAACATTCTTTGCTTCCAAAGCTGGAGACACCGGCTGTCCGGTTTGAACAAAGTTCGACCACATGCTTGTCATCAGTTCCACCATAAGAATTTCCGGGGCATCGTTTTCGAAATACGGGATTTTGACTGTCCCAAAGAACGTTGCATTCATAACGAACAGATATTGCAAATCGTCATGATGCACCACTCCTAGAATAATAAAATAAATAACAAATTTAAGTATACATATAATATATGCAGAAACTAGATAGAGATCAAGTCGTGAAGTACTATTAAACAATTTGAATCAAAAAGTAAAGTATAAGAATAAAAATAATACCGTATGGTGTGGTTTTATTCCACATGGCAAAACTGTATCGTCCTTGATAAGAAGACATATAATAGTAGACAGGTTGATTGGAGTTTTCTGCGATCAATCTTACAGAACGATGCATCGGGTATATAACTATGCCGTCACTGTTCATCTAAAATACAAAACCAATTATATATGAGTTAACAGTCATTAATTTTATTCATGTTGCTATATTAACTTAGCAATATTTAATATTGTTTTAAACGTTGATTCACAATATTTTTTATATAATAGGTACTTTGCTTACATGTGCGAAACCGTCGTAAGTATCTGGACCGACCGGTTTGTCTCCAAAGTAAAATTTGCGTAGTTCGGTACTTATGTGTCTGGATCGAGGTGTATCCCGGTCGTACAAGAAATTAATAGGTGCGAGTCTGTACCAGTCATTGTTCAAGTCGTCCACCATCGAATCATTTCCGAGTTCGTGTTGCTTCTTGACAACTATAAGGAAACCAGCGGAATATATTATTAGATATATATTTATTTTCGCATTAAATTCTTTACAGATTTAGGGGGGAGAAGATTCTTATAGATGCTTATTAGCATCGAAAATATTAAATTGTTGGACAATTTAATTCGTTACAGTGGATTCCAGCCTTATGTCAGAGCTACGTGTTTTAAAATCGGTAGTTTATGCGGCGCACAGTTTGTATGCGACTTGATATTGTAACAGTAAAAATTATTACACACCAACATTCGTGTCGGCTTGCAAAGGCATTATTGAGCTAATTATGATTATTCATTTTACGAGTCTTAATTTATTCAAGTTAAATATATATTTATTAATTTCTGTGATTTTAGCCATTAATTTTAATTTCGGAATCGAATAGAAATTACAAGAGGATACAAATACAAGATTCTTACAGGCGGCCACACTGTCGAATTCGTTTTTAGTAACTCCTGCGATCAGCGGAACTTTGTGAAACTGCCCTTTTCTAATAAGATCATTGGGCTGTTCTGGCAAGAATCTTTCCACGCCGTGAACCTCAGGTTCCACTACGGGTGTCCATATTAACATTGGATGAAAGTACCATTCCTAAAACGTGTCACAGTATGTTACAAATTATTTTTTTTATTTAAACATTTAAAAACAATATAATTTTGTATACGTTCTGTATTTTTGGCAAATTTTTCTATATGTTGTTTTTCTATTTTTCCGTCGTTTGACAGGAAAATTATTTAATTTTATTTACTAATTCCTTTATTAATCTCATATAATCTTCTCATGTAATCTTCCTTACAAAAAACTTGGGTATGGTATCTGTGAAGTTCTCCACTGGCTTGGAGTTCAAACAAATTAGCATAGAGCCAGTAGTGTCGGTCGGGCAGTCTAATAATTCGGCTTGTTTCTTCGCTAAGTGCAGTTGTTCGGTTGGGTACGGTTCTTTCGGCGGCCCGCCACTCATCATAATCGCCCGATGGAACAATCCTTTGGACATCGGCGAGACCATGTGCAACATCACGCTCACTCCACCGATGCTGTAGCCGGATATAGTAACGCTATCGGGGTCACCGCCGAAGGCAGCTATGTTCCTTTGAACCCATCGAAGCGCCACGACTTGATCCTTCAGGCCTAAATTACCCGGTGCCTTCGAATCGCCGGTGCTCAGAAAGCCTGACACGGGTAAGCACAAATAGAGATTTTAAAACAAAGTTCTTGTATGTCAATTCTTAGAACATTTAAGCAACAAAATCCCCACATAATTTTATCAGTCGATATTTTTCTTTAAAATGTAAATTGTAGTTTAAGCGGAATTTATCGCTTCTATAGTATATAATTCGAATTATCGGAATGATAATAATACGCAGGACTTTTTACCTAGCGACGCAAGACGATAATTGACGGTGACGAGAACGATGTCTTTGTCCAATAAATACTGAGGTCCGAAATTAGAACTTTGGCCCGAGAACAAGTAAAAAGCACCAGGATGGAAAAATACTAGTACAGGTCTTTTCACGGGATCGTTCTCCGATGGTAACTGCGATCAAAATAATTGTTCAATTAGTGATTCAACTTTTTTTCAGCTTGAATGTACGTTGCATTACGTGCGAATGTACGAGGCTTACTTTCGTCGTGTAGACATTCACACGGAGACAATCCTCCATTATATTCTGTTCAAACATCGCTGGACAGGCGGGGCCTTCTTTAGTCGCATCGAAAACATTGGTCCAATCCGCCGCTGGAATTGCGACCTAGGAGAAATAAGATTAAAGGAACAAAAATGTGAAATTTAGCCAAAATTCTGTTTCGAAGTCTGCCTTATTCTTGTTAAAAAATTGCTGGATAGATCGTTTTTCATGAAGCAATTTTTATATAATATTTCATGTCCACAGATTGAGAGTCTTGCCGCGTTTTGCGTTCTTAAGAAATTGTGCAAGACTTGTGCAAGACATATATATATATATATATATTGCACTATCATTTTATTGGCTGCGCCTGTAATGCGGATAAAAACGTGAATTACGCGGTCGACTTCAATATAAAATTAATATGAACGTTCTCATTATTCATCTAATTGCGTTATCTGATGGTTTACTTGGAAACGTTGCTGTCCGGTCGGCGGTTCGGCGTATCTGACACCGCGGAAGGAATAGATTTTCTTGCCAAGTCTGGAGGTCATGATGGAACCGCGAATTCTTCCAATCGGTGCGGCGACCTCATGTTGTTCGTCGGTGAGATTGTCATCGGCGAACACGAAAACGACACTCAAAAGAATAACGAACAGGCGTTTCATGACGTTTCTGCAGAGGAGGACAGTTCGGTACTGGCGAGTCTAATGCGAGCAGGAAACTCACGCACGTGAAACCGGTTAGGCACGTTAAGTGCCGCACCAGCGAGCACTAAAAACATCTCAAGGGCACCACGAGGCCTTTTATATACCGAACCGCGAGGAGGAAGACGTGCGCGTAAATCGCAATTGTCTTTCTGGGAAACTTGACTTTATCATACCGAGAGTATTTCCCACAAACGTCCAGGCATACGTGAGGTCATGCGGTTTTGTAATTGAAAATATACACGCGCACGCGGGATTTTGAACCAAGACGCAGTGGGAATTAATGCAGTTATTCCACGGCGGGAGTGCAGATAAATTCCGAAAAAATTATCTCAACGTTTATCTCCAACGGTTACAGTTCGTAATATTATCGAATTTTTTATACTTATACATTTTTCAATTAATATAGCTGATGATGCAAATAGATTGCAACTGAATATTGGTGTAGGTCATATTTTCCTCAACACGAGGAATATATAACGTCGAGTCTTACAGGAAAATTCCATTACACAAAATTCAATCTTACTGCAGGAAACAGATATATAAAATCCAATTACTTTGCTACATTAGCTCTTCTCATAATTTCGTTTTATAAGGTTATTATTTTAGATAGGTATTAGAAAAATGCAGATGGTCAAAGATAATAATCTAAAAAATTTCTAATTTTTTTGGATAATTTTTAGATATCTTCCCAGATTCCGGAAAGTCTTTCTGTTTTTTGGACTTTTGTGTTGTTTAAAGTTGGTGCAGTAGTAGCTACACTGAGAGAAACTGTTTAAATCATTTTTTTATAATCGAGCTATTTCTTCTTTGATTCTTTTAAATTGTGTTTGTCTTCTGTACGGTAAATTTTAGTTACATGGCTGTAGTTTAGATCGAAAACATAATCATGCTTATCGGCCTTATCGTTACGAGCCTGTCTTTTTGCATGGTTTAGCAAGTTCATATAATTAGAGAAACGTTTGTTGTTGCTATCAATGATATGCTAATATAAGTATCGAGGAAAAAATACCTTCTTGACTGACAATGAAATGATTCCGATGCTTGCTTGCTGTTTACTAATTTACGAACTTGACATTTATCTGAAAAAATTTGCAATCTATACAGCTGGAAATTAGAAAAAAATCGTAGTTCAAAATAACAAGCTATTAATATAGATAAATAAATCAATAGCTATAAAATTATTTACTGCAGATATGTCGATTTACATAGAGATTTAAATTATTTTCAAGATCTTATATATGTTATGGCTTTGATATGTTTTGTATGGTAAAGGTAAGATATGGGATGTCAATGTTAAACTAGAAAGATTTTATTTTTGTTGAATAGATTGATTTAGATTGTCAAATATTTGGCAAGCATTTGTTATTTGAATTTTACCGTTATAATACTAATTTTTGGTTTGACGAGAATACTACCTGGAGATTATTAGAATTTATATTGCGCCTATTGATTTGCGTATTAGATTCTTTTCTCAATTTTTTTATATTTAGTCTTATCTATTGGTTGATTGCCACTATTTATATAGTTCTGTCGTAGACTCTCTTGCAAAAATGATATAATCTGTGTTCCGGTTAATATGGATACTTTAATGTGCAGCACTTTTATTAAAATTAGATCATTCAAATTATTAGAGGTGGATTGAAAATCATTAACACGTTTTGTATCATTTTTATTACGTTCCCTATTTTTCTTTTTTATTAAAGATATTATTTTACTGACAAGTAACGTATAGAATAAAAATGCATAGAAAATTTTATAAAGATTTGTTAATACTACAAAAAATTAGTGGAAAGTCTACAATGTACTTCAAATACATATCAAATTATTAAATTAACAATAATGCTTAAAATTTCCAAATCAATTTTTTATATTTGGACTGACACTTAACGATTAGTTAGAGATATGGCTCCGTTGGACGTAAAGGCAGCAACATGTATATTTAACTAAAGCTTACAATCATATGTACTTTGTAAAACTATACTTGTGAAAAATATATATAAAACAATATTTCATTAATATTTAGAATATTTCTTTGACAATATTAATCATACATAGCAGCGGTAATATACATATTATATACACAGAACCTAAAAAAGCGAGAATCGTAAAATGCGTATTCTATCAATTTCTAATTGAAAATTTAATTTATGATGTTGCATATTAATATCAAAAATCGTTAAAGCTATTTCCTTTATAGTCGTATGCATCAAGAAGACAATTTCATCCGCTTCAATAATTGTAAGCACCAGAAGGCTCCTTTTTGTATACATAAAAATAGGGTGTTCCAATTTTATGTATACATAAAAAATATATATGTATAAAATTTGGCCAAAATTCTAATTGAAAGTTTGTCTTATTCTTATCAAAGGATTGTTGGATGAATGATTTACGAAGAAATTTTTATATAATACTGAGTATCCACAGACTGAGGAGGGTCTTGCCGCGTTTTACGTTTTTAAGAAATTGTTCAATATTTACTATATCATTTTATTAATCCTTCAATTTTATTATTATTTTTTAAAAAATATTTAATATATAAGCTGTGTCCATAATACGGATTCAAACTCGAATTACTCGATCGGTTGTATAAAATTAACAGCAGCGTTCTTATTATTTATTTAATTGCAATATCTGATACTTTACTTGAAAACGTTGCTGCCCGGTCGGTGGTTTGGCATATCTAACATCACGGAAGGAATAGATTTTCTTGCTATTTCTGGAGGCGGTCAAACTAATTCTTGACTTTACATATTTTACATTTGACAATCAAATTTACAAACAAAGGGTATAGCGGGTTAAGGAGGTGATTTCCGGCCCCACGCGTAATCGATCGTCATACTGGGTAAAATGTCCACCCAGATAAAAAAAAATTTTGTTTCATTTCAAAAGACCCAAACAATTTCGAAATATTACAAGAGATATGATTTTTTTGATATTTTTTTCTCCGCTAAATTTGAATTAATCTTTACAAAAAAATTCATAATTACAAAAGTTATCTATATATATAAGTTTGAATTTTATTGTCGTTCTGTGCTGAAAATTCTGTTTTTATAAAAATCCAGAATATTTTAAATCGTATTTTCTCTAGATCTAAAAAATTGGCCACTTTTAAAAAATTTAGTAAATAAGTCTTATAACATATTATATTCGATATTTTTTCAGATTTTTTTATTTGGTGGAATGTGGCAAAAAAAATAATCGATTTTTTTGTTATTTTTCGGCCTTAAATGTATCCGGTTGACATATATTAACTTGTTTCTAAATATAATTACTTACCTCCGATCTTACATTTGCAAACAATAGTA